GCCACCTTAGGTGTACGTGGCTGGCGCCTTAGCCGGTTGAGCTATAGGCACCGAGCCTAAAGTCTGGTTCTTAAATGGGCTATCATGGTACACTGATGTTTCAAAATCAACTGGCAAGTGTATCACACAAAGCAGCAGCAGCAGTTAGAGAAGTCTGAGAAAGACTTCTCTTTCTTCATCAAAGAATATCCCAGATTCTTCCCCAGGAGTGGGGGAACCCTTGCTAGTTAGTGTCACAAATGTCTATGCAAGTGCCCCTCATGTGAACACCACATGTAGGTCAGAAGAAAAAGGTTTAAAAATCACTAAAGAAGAAAAATGACCTCTTTTGATCTAACCTTCTGATTTTTAGTCTGAAATAAGTGTGTATATTAAGTGCATACTGAAATGAGTTTGAGACATTTCCATGTAATTCAGTCAATACTGACCTGAGTGAAAAAGGTGCCACACCCACCTGTACCTAGAATGGACATGAAAAACAGAGAGGGCTGGCGGAAAGGAAACAACTGGTGCAATCTGGGAGAAGCAGAGAAGGGAGAACAGAGCAGGCCTTTCTTTACTTAGTATCTACTATGTGCCAAACTGTGCCAGGAGCTTTACACACTGAGTCACTTTAAGTCCCACAAGAGAGCCCTGTGATCAAGGCAACATTACCATCTTGGACACTCTAGGGTCCAAGAGCTGAAATAACTTATACAAGATTTTTCCATTACTGAGTAGAAGGCTTGAATTCATACATGGTTACAAAGCCATAGCCTTTGTCCTGCACTATGCTGAGCTGACAAATCAGCCTAAAGCACGAGATGCCACTTTCAGCACACAAATAATGGAAAATCTTTGCTTTTCTTATATGTGTATAGACAGATACCACAGCAAATTGCCAGCTTTCATAAAACGCACTGGGGATGAGGACAGGATTCACAAATAATGGCAAGGCCAAGTTCCTCTCACAGGCCTATTTAGGAGTTACTTATTATGCTCCACCATCAGAGCCAGTTATACCAAGAACAAGAGGCTGTGTGATTAGCATGATGTGAATGGGAGATTTGCAAAAACTGGAAAAGTCGGCTCAGCACCTGTGGCTCAAGTGGCTAAGGCGCCAGCCACATACACCTGAGCTGACGGGTTCGAATCCAGCCTGGGCCTGCCAAACAATGATGGCTGCAACCAAAAAAATAGCCAAGAGTTATGGCAGGCACCTGTGGTCCCAGCTACTTGGGAGGCTGGGGCAGGAGACTTGCTTGAGCCCAGGACATGGAGGTTGCTGTGAGCTGTGATGCCACGGCACTCTACCCAGGGGTACAGCTTGAGGCTCTCTCTCAAAAAAAAAAACCTGGAAAAGTCCTTTCCTAGATCCCAGGACAAAGAAGAAGGCCAACGGCTTTCCAATTTACCATTACGTGCCAGGTCTCATCCTGTCTTTAGGGACCTGTGGCAGGACAGGCAACTGTAGAACACTAACAAGGTTAGCAACCTCACATCAGTGAGTAATTTCATAAGCGGTGTGACGTTTGGTCTACAGTCAACCTTTATGAGTTCAAATCCTCCTGAGTAACTTTAAGTAAATCACTTATTCTGAGTCTGTTTCTTCATCTGTAAAGTAAGAACATGCCCAACCCTCCCTGTCTGCTGGTCTCCCAGTATAGATTGCATTTATTAGTTTCCTGGCTTTTGGGCTACCAGGTGAGTCTGCCCAGCAGGAGCTGCCAGAAGGGAGGAGGAAGGAAGAGTGGGAAATTAGGGTATTTCTTCTCCCCACCCTACAATCCTTAACAGGACACTGGGCCTGGAACCCCTTGAACACAGTTCCAAGCAGCTCTCAGGTGCTCTATCCACACAACTACTCAATTAGACCTAACGATGGACACAAGGTTCTGCTGTCAACTAGCTGTTGCATACTAAACCTTCAATTCTGATTTCCCTCTCATACCTTTATAAACATGATTGTCCTTTCACTGACCTTTTCTCAAATTATCCTAATTTTCACGTGTTACCTATTTCCTGGGGGTACCATGGATTAAACAGGACATACTACCACTTCATAAAGTTACACACTGTAGCTCACATCATGCACGTCTCCGAGCCAGGCACTAGTCTGTTAATTACTGTTATGACAATTATATGACACAGAAATTGTTGCTCCCAATTTACAGATAAGGAAGCTGAAGCTTAAAGAAGTAAAGAAATTCCCCTAACTACACACAAGGGCGTAAGAGCCAGAACTGTGAGGCCTTAACCTCCATATCCGGAAATCTCTATCTTTCCATTTCTATTATCACCGTTAACTGTCAATACTTTTCCTGCTACACCAAATTTCATCGTTGTCCTCATTCCTACAAGAAAATAACACTCTGTTACGAATATGATTTTATTTCTACTGTCGGACATAGTTAACTGTAGGGTTAGAGTGGGAATGCCAGAGTCGATTCAAAATACAAGACAATTCGCCACTTGGAGGAGCTATTATCTTCAAGGAGACTCTTTTCCATGAGCTTCACTTTCCTCTCATAAAATAAGGGTAACACTACATCCTTTAAGGGTCGTGGCAAGGAATCAATGGAATAACGTTTGCAAAGCACCGTGCAGGCAGTAACCGCTCAAACGAAAAAAGCTACAACAGTTAAATAGCGGGTTTGCCGCTAAGGAGCAGGGAGGCGGGTCAGGACCTGGAGACCCAAAGAAAGAAACCTGCTCCCTGCCCCGGGCCCACCTGCTCCTCCAGTCTCTCGATTTCTAGCTGGTTCTTCTCCTCCTCTTCATCGTACTCCCACTCGTACTCTTCGGGGGAGCTGTCCCCGGAGGAAGCCATGGCGTACTCCTCATCATCCCCATCGCTCTCGCTCACGCCTTCCTCCTGCTGATCCCATTCTGTCCCTGTGGTCTTGTACGTCGCAGCAGTCACAGCCCGCGAAAGCACCTTCCTCCTGGTCCTAGCCGCCTTAGCCTCATCTTCCTCTCCCTCGGTCTTGGGCCCAACCTTAGACTCAGCCTCAGGTTCGGAAGCCGAGGGTGCAGCCGCCGTCGCCATCTTGCGCTTCCAGTGACTCTCGGGTCTTCCCGCGGGGAACGAAGACCCGGATGAACAGAGCTGCCCGCGGCACGCGCCTTATCAAAACCCCCCTTTCTTGCCATCGAAAGGGAGACTGGACGCCTGGGATTATGGGAAAATCTCGCAGTACCCACAATTCCTATTATTTTTATATTCCTGTAAAATCTCTCATCAGAGAAAAACCTCATTTCTATGTCACGTGTTATGCCACATCTTCGGGCAGATGTTGGGCCTTTAGACCGGAAATGGAGGCCACAGAGGAAGTCGGGGAGGGAACGTGATGCCTGTAGTCAAGGGTTTGGCCCATCTTGAGAAGGTCAGAATGAGTCAGAATAAATATCTTAAAATCTAGTGTGACTTGGCGCGTGGTTTGGTCTCCCCAGCAACTGCGCCTCAAGCGCAGAGAAAACTCCACGTCCCCAGGGAAGGATTGCTTGCACCATTCATGAAAAAATCCATTCCCCGTTATGTAACTGCCAGTACTTCAGTCTTATACACGCGTTAATTTTTCTGGTTGTGTAAGATACCTTGCAAACAAGTGACAATAAGCGTTTCTTTAGAAACTCTTGATAGTCCTTGTCACATAAATTGTGAGTTTGTTAGTCTACAGAGAGATAGATACAAACTTTTTTTCAATCAAGCCATGGTATTCGTTTTCTTCTCAAGCTTCCCATTTTTGAGGTAGGAAAGTATTGGTGTGTTTCTCTACTTAATTGCCTTTCTCCCTATTAGCAAGCTTAATGGGGAAAGAATTATGTTTTGGTCTCTGATCCCGTCTAGTATAGCGCTTTGACACGTAAATACTCAGCACATCCCTGCTCTGTGGACGAAGGGATGGTCCTTGAATTAGTACAGAAGGAAGGATCCAGGCTTGGCCAGCCGATGTCACTTGCTTAGGGACACATAGCCAGGAAGGAGCAGAGGATTCTAACCCATGATTGTCCAAGTTCAAATCCCAACAAAACCTAACTCTCTCAGCAACCTCTCACAAGTTACTAAACCGCTCTGAATCTCGGCTTCCTTTCGCTGCAAAATAGGCTTGTGAAAGGTGGACTGGTGGTTTTCAGTGCCACATTCCAGCGGTAGGCTTTGCTACGCAAACCTGGCACCATGCCCCAATCGGGATCCTACGCTTCGGACGAGTCTTCCAGCAACTTCAGATCTTCTCGCCCCCGTGGGCGGGACCGGGAGCAAAGCGCAGGTGCATGCAGGGAGCAGAGGACGCAAAGCTGGAGTCGCGGTGACGTCAGAGGCGCAACCCCGCGCTCTGGGACGTCGCAGGCGCTAGCCGACAAGATGGCTACGGCTGGAGCGGGCCGTCTGAGGCGGCGTCTGAGGCGGCGGCGTTGGGCTCTGTTGCTCCGGAGCCCGCGCTTGCCCGCCCGGGAGCTGTCAGCTCCGGCTCGGCTCTACCATAAAAAGGTAGGGTCTGACGACGGGGTGCGCAGAGCGCCGAGGGCACTCAGGCTTCTTGGCGGAGGCCCGGAGTGAAAGAGATGGCCGCGGGGTTCGGCGTGGCCCTAGATAGAGGGACCACCCCTCCCACATCTGTGCCTTGACTCACTTTCCTTTCCTGCTCAGTGACACTAACCGCAACTGATACATAGATAGCAGCTACCACTGATTGGGCGGCGGCTTCTACTAGGCTTCGCCGCTCTCCCCGACTTGATGCGTCCCAACTTTAAGTCCCTTTAAAGTTGCCAGTAGCCCGAGAGGGAGGGTCCTGGCTAGTCGTAACTTGGCATTCTGAGTCCAGAGACACACACGTTGTGGCGCGGCTCAGGCTTCAGCCACGCCACTGCCCTGGCTAAGGGACCTTGAGCAAGTCCTTGCCCTTCGCTGAACCTGGAGCATGCAGTAGGGGGCTCTCAGGAGTCTTCTGTAGGATGTTATATTTTGGACATGGTTCTTGGGCCATTGGCCCTACGCGTGGAGACCATTATCGTGCTATTAATGTTTTAGGAGCGCATAGCGTCTGAGGGGAGTCAGGCACATAACCAGTAAGCATGTTTTTGTCGGGGGAGAGAAGAGATAGATGCCTAGTTTGCGCACCCTTACCTTCAAGGGGCTAGAGCACCCTTAAGTGAGACTCTCACTCAAGAAACTACTAAAGAATGCCGTTATATCAACGTGGTGCCGAAAATCCAGATTAAATATTATCTGGTCGGTCCTTGGGCTTTGAGTCAAAAATCCATACCCGGAAGTGGTGTGTGAGGGGGAGGACTGGAAGATTGGGGTACTTGTAAACAAACCTCAAGGTTAGTGAAGCCTTCTGTATACCATTTTGGACATTTATTCAGCTCTGGCTTTTCGGCGCTTTAGCCAAGTACTTAACTCCTCCCTTCTCCCACGCCCCTCTCCCCCAGCCCCTCCCCCGCGTGTGTTTTGTTGACTCTGCGCGGAAGGAACTTGGACTAGTAGAGTCACCAGGGTGCGCTGCTGCACCGGGGTGATGTCAGGACCCAGAGATAATATAGCACTGCTTTTATCTTAATAGACCAGTAAACGTAGGCCTTCCTTAGTATTGTTTCTGTAACAGTCACCATGAGGCTTCTCAAAAAGCCTTATCATTCCTGGGCCATAGTATGGTTAGGATTTTTTATTTTTGTTTGAGAGACAGGTTCTTACTTTGTAAGCCTGGTCTGGAGGGCAATAGCCAGATCACAGATCACTGTAATCTTGCCACCTTGGGTTTGAGTGATCCTCCCACTTTGGCGTAGAATTTTTAAAAAGTAATCATCCTTTGGGAATGGGTTTTATTTAGAAATAATAAAACTGCTAGCTCGGTACCTGTGGCTCAAATGGCTAAGGCGCCAGCCACACATATATCCAAGGTGGCAAGTTCGAATCCGGCCCGGCCCGCCAAACAACCATGACGGCTGCAACCAAAAAATAGCCAGGTGTTGTGTTGGGTGCCTGTGGTCCCAGCTACTCGGGAGGCTGGAGAGACTCGCTTGAGCCCAGGAGTTGGAGTTGGAGTGCCACAGCACTCTACCCAGGGGGACAGCTGGAGGCTCCTGTCTCAAATAAAATAAAATAAAACTACTGCTTTGAGTCCAAATCAGGTGACTAAGACATGATTTCACACACACACACACATATATATATTATCACAAATCTATGACGGTGGAGAGGAAATACAAAGCGTTTGGGTCACAAATGGTACTCACTGACATGAATGTGGGTCTTTCTACTCAGATAAAATCTAGTATGTAGTGACTACCTGCCAGCTTCAGGTTAATGAGATTGAGGAGCTGACCATTAAGATCACTTTATTAGTATTGGTCTTCCTGACTCAACTCTTTCTTTTCAGGTGGTTGACCATTATGAAAATCCTAGAAACGTGGGGTCTCTTGACAAGACATCTAAAAATGTTGGGACTGGATTGGTGGGGGCTCCAGCATGTGGTGATGTAATGAAATTACAGGTACCAGCTGTTTTTCAACTTTAATGGTAATAACAATCCCTTTGCTTACACAGTGCTTTATAGTTTACAAAGCATTTGCACATACAGCATTTCATTTGCTCTCCATCTTTATTCCTGTGGTGTGGAATGAGTCAATGTTAGAAATGATTAGCAGGGCCTCAGTCTTGGTTCTCTTACTAGTATACTAAGCTGACCTTTTCTGAAATAGGGAACTAATCTCATTTTTCTACTTACTGTATCAGCTTAAATTTCAAGTTAAGCCAAGTAAAAGTTTTTGTGAATTTTACTGATGAAAGGAAAGCCCCAAAGGGCTGCCAATCTCTAATGAGACAAGTGCAGTAAATCGAACCTATCCCCAAACTGGAAGCGACAAGAAGGTAGTGTCTTGGGCTTTGGGTAAACTATAGCTGTGTCCACAATCTCTTTCTTCATAGTAGGTAGGCAGCTTGCCAGAGGTCTTCATACCTATCTTGAAAAACAGAAACAAGGCAGGAGGGAACAGAAACAAGTACAGTTTGATGCCCAAGAAAGCAATGTTAACCAGAGACCTTTATTGCAGACTTTCCAGGTGTTTAAAAAGCCAGACTACCCCGTAAATGTGAACAGACCTCCTCAAATAGGATTTCATAGTTAATGTGCAGACTAAGGTTACAAAACAAAATTGGGATGGAGGGACATATATTCCATCTGATCTTTACCAGGGAAGTTGTTCCCACATTTCACTATCATCACTGAGCTCTTCGAAAGAAAGCAAAGTCCATAATTATTGCCATTACTTACAGTGTAGAAATTAAGCTCGAAGGCCCCAGTAACTTCCATGAGTGCCAGGTACCCAAGTACCAGAGGGTGACCCCAGAAATCACTTCTTGCCTCTTGTCTCTTTTCTAGATTCAAGTAGACGAAAAAGGGAAGATTGTGGATGCCAGGTTTAAAACATTTGGCTGTGGCTCAGCAATTGCTTCCAGCTCATTAGCCACTGAGTGGGTGAAAGGAAAAACGGTAAGAATGCTTGAAAATTGGACAGAATAAAATGGCATTTTCCAAACCTTGTTCCCAAAGTGTCTAGTGATTCAAAAAACAAGTGACCATGACTTTTTTAAGTTCTAAATTTTTTTAGTTGCTCATACCCAAATGTTGATTAAATTCTTCTCCAAATTGGGAATTATAGATCCTTCTGTTAAGTGTTATTTAAGGTTTTTTTGTTATTGATCATTTTTATTTGTTCCGGTAGTGTTTTATTAATTACATAGGAAAAAGAGCCTCACCCATCCCTCTAACAAAATAGAATTGAAAATAAATCTTTGGCTTTCTCTATGGTCGATGATTTTCTTATAATTTTTTTCAGGTGGGAGGCTGTTACATAGTGATTGTTTTCTTATTTCTTCCCATCATGTTTCAGGAAGGAGTCCAGGTGGCTTATGATGACTGGTGAAATAAACTAGCCTGTGTTAAAAGAGGGATTAAAGATTCAAAAACACAACAAGGGTGGGGGCAAACTTAGCAGACAAATCAGAGTAGTGATCCAGGTGGTCCTCTGAGCGTGGAGGTAAGAAAGGGCTGAAACATCTTTTTCCATCCATTCTCTCCCAAAGCATCTGCAGAGGTAGAAGTTCCCAAACTCAGTGAGGAGCTGGATTTTCTAAACTCCAGTTGCCATTAAATCTCTGAGAGGCCTCAGGTGGTTCTCACACCTATAATCTCGGCACTCTGAGAGGCAAAGGTGGGAGGATCCCTTGCGATCAGAAGTTAAGACTAGTTCTGAGCAAAGTGAGATCCTGTTTCTACTAAAAATAGAAAACTGAGCCCAGCTTTATGGCATATGTCTATAGTCCCAGCTACTCAGGAGGCCGAGACAGGATGGTCACTTAAGCCCAAGAGTTTGAGGTTGCCATGCGGTAGCCTAACACCATGGCACTCTAGCCCAGGTGATGGAGCAAGACTATCTGAAAAGAAACAAAAAACCTCATAGTAAAGCCAACCTGCAAGGCACTCATCTTTGTAGCCCCAAGGGACCCAGTTGAGGAAGCTGAATCATGGAGGAGGATGTTTGGGGAGCTGACCAGCTCTACAGCAAAGTGGTTTGCCAGCCCACGTGCCACCTGCTTTCTGTGGCTCGGGGCCTTCTGGCTGCCAAGCTCCTGTGGGCCAAGGAAGCACAGACCTAACCTGTTCTGGCAGGAGCTGGCTTCAAAGTGATTTGTCAGGAACTGTCCCTAAGGAAAGGGGGAAATGAGACAAGGCACACGTATATTCCTAGGACCTGGCTTTTAGGGGCTCTGAGTTGTGGTCAAAATGGGGAAGAGGTCCTCTCTTTAAGAGCTCCCATCTCAGCTTCCACGAGCAAAACTTGAATAATCAATTGGGGTTAGTGGAATTGGGAGGTTAGGGGACAGTCAGAGGTAGCCAGGGAAGCAGGCCATTTGGGAAATCTGGCTTTCCTTAAGGCAGTCGGGCTCTATTCAGCATAGGCAAAGACCTGCCTGCCTCTAGTTATCCCCAAAGGTTCTCCAGACGCCAGGTACCCTCTTTAGGCGACTAGTCCAGAGATTCTCCTGTAGGCAGAAGGTGACTCTAAGAGAACACTCCACCTGACACCTGCTTGTGCCACTAACCTCTCTGACATCTCCCTGACCTCCATGATGCCATTCAGCACTTCTGGTCAAAAGAATGTATTCCAACATTTGGTAGAAGGACATGAGAGAAGCTGATAGTCACAAAACCAGCACAGGAAATCACTGCCTTTTAAATAAAGACTCCTTTTGGTGGCCTCAGCCAGACTTCTGTGAGAATTTCCTTGGGTTCTGCTCCTGGCTTATAGAAGTATCTTGACTGTCCTTGCTTACCTCATGCAGGTGTATATGCTTAGTACTTGATAACCCCAGCTGTAGCATAGACAACAAGATGGGAGTCCTGAGAAGACCCCAGTCCTTTGTTTTGAATGATTAAACCGAAATTGTCTCCCATCATCCCTGAGGGCCTTGTTAGCCTGCCTTTTATTTAGTTGTCTGGCCCTTGCAAGATAAGGCTCTGCTAAAACTGCTTATCTTTCCCAAATGCCTCACAGGTGGAGGAAGCCTTGACCATCAAAAACACAGATATCGCCAAGGAACTCTGCCTTCCTCCTGTGAAACTGCACTGCTCTAGTAAGTCTCTGCTCTGCAAGACTGCCAGCCAGCCAGGGCACTCAGCAGTAATTTCAGCTTGCATTATGAGAGTCCTTTTAGGTCAGGGAGTCTATCTTTATAACCCTCAGAGAGATAGACCTCATGGGTCTGTCTTAGAGCCTTCCCATGGTCTTACACACATCTCTAGGAGACTGATGACAGGAGATCGTGTGGGCTAGGCATCGTACTGGGCACTTGATGGGCATAATTTACAAACTTCAGAAACATCTTCGAGTCCATAATAAAGTTATTACTCCCCTCTTACAGATGAGAGAGCTGAGCTTGGGTTAAGGGACCCAAGTCACATGGCCAGTAAGTGGAAGGGCCAGAATTTAAACCCCAGTCTTCCAGAATCTGTTGCAATTTCCAGCAGAGGAGAAAACTCAGCTTTCTCCATAATTCTGTTTGCTGTGTATTTTGTCACTTCCTGTGTAGTTGCTGTTACCGTCAGGATCTGCATCTGTGTATAAAGAATGACTAAGCCCTGTTGTGCAATAGCCCCCTCTCCGCTGTCCTAAGAGAAAGCCCAGATGCCTTAAGACTTACACTTGGCTTTCCAGTTTGGCCCCTGTGTTAAATCTAATGCTTTTTCCATCTTCACCTAACCTTCTCAGGGAAAGAAAGAATGAGAAACGGTAGCCCTAACATACTGATGGAGCTTTACTGACCAAATTAGTCAAAAATCAGCAGAGAGCCAGGCCTCCTGCCAGGGTGAGAACCCACAGGAGAAGAGCCAGGTGCTGGGGTGAGGACACACTAAGGCAGTCTTTCTGTGTGTGTGTGTGTGTGTGTGTGTGTGTATGTTTGAGACAGAGCCTCAAGCTATCCCCCTGGGTAGAGTGCTATGGCTTCACTGCTCACAGCAACCTCCAACTCCTGGGCTTAAGCGAGTCTCCTGCCTTAGCCTCCCAAGTAGCTGGAACCACAGGTGCCGCCACAACGCCCGGCTATTTTTTGGTTGCAGCCATTATTGTTTGGCGGGTCCGGGCTGGATTCGAACCCGCCACCTTAGGTGTATGTGGCTGGCGCCTTAGCCACTTGAGCCATAGGCGCCAAGCCAAGGCAGTCTTCAGGAAGACTGCTAAGACCTGAGTTCTTTCCACTTGAGCTGGAATTTTAAGTACCCGTGAAGAAAGGTCATATCTTATAAACATTTTCACATAGTTTAAAAAAAAACCCAGCCTTTTTATGAGGCCTAAATTTTAGGTACTGAAACCTTTAGCTGGTGCTATCTGCTGTTTGCTTACTTTCTACTGACATTGTAGCTCTCTTGATTTTTATTTTCCCCCATAGCCTCAGTTTCATAATTGACTCATAAACAGAAGTAAGTTAGTTTACTAACTTGGCATCTCTAGAGCAGTGTTCTCAACCTTCCTATGCCGTGACCCTTTAATACAGTTCCTGTGGTCACAACCCACAGGTTGAGAACCACTGCTCTAGAGGATGATGTGGCAGATAACATCCCATGAGCAGGTTGACATGACCTAAGTCATGCCAACATAAGTAGCCAGCACCTGTACTCCATTTATCCCAGACTGTCATAGGAAATCACAACTAACATTTGTTACATCCTATTGTATATCAGACATCTCCTGCAAGTCCCCACACTATCCAAGAAGCTAAGGAATTAGCTTAGCATTACAGATATTTAAACCCTAGTCTGTCTTCAGACTAACATCTGGGAGTAGTCAGGCTCAGGAGGCAGCTGCTGACATGCCTGGCTCCTCACTCCAACTCCCCAGCTCAGTTACTCTGTTAAGTCCCTCCCAAGCACACTGCCCTCCAGCTCTTAATTCATTTCCTAAGCTCTTTTCTTTAGTGTGTAGAAACTTAGACTCTTTCTTCCACACTACTAGTGCTGGCTGAAGATGCAATCAAGGCTGCCCTGGCTGATTACAAACTGAAACAAGAACCCAAGAAAGGAGAGGCAGAGAAGAAATGAGCCCTTGGAGAAGCCTTCAAGTCATGTCATCTGTTTGCCCACCCACCATGCAGTCACTTCAGACATTCAGAAGCCCCCAGCACTACCTAAAAGAGCTATGAGATACGCACAAGTTTCGCCGTTCACATTGTGACTCTAGTGCAAGCAAAATACAGAGTTTAATTGTTCTGAATCCTGTGATTTCTTTCAGCCTACATTTATCGCCTTAACTCAGTTAATGTATATTTTGAATTGTGTGTGTGGCCTCAGAACTGAAATCAATAATGAAGTCTCAAGTTTTGATAGCCTGTGAAGTATATAAATATCTTAATTTTACCTGAATTGATTTTGGGGAAAATTAGAATGCCTTGATGTAATTATTAGACAGAATCAGTTACTGTACATAAAACAGATGTACTTACATATGTTAAATAAAACAAGGTAAGATAACGGTTTCTCTAGTAAGCCTTGTTTCTTGGATGCTTCACTCCAAAGTGCTACTCAAAGCCCCATGGGTTCCAAAGGCTGGACTCTGGTGACAATACAGTTTTCCCACCAAATCAGACAGTAAAGGACATGTACAGAGATTTTTTTGTTTTTGCAGTTTTTGGCCAGGGCTGGGTTTGAACCCGCCACCTCTGGCATATGGGGCCAGAGTCCTACCCCTTTGAGCCACAGGCGCTGCCCCAGAGTTTGGTTTTTTTCACAAAGCCAAATATACCAAATACAGCCAGATATTTCAAATGTTTTATGAAATGAGTGAAAAGAGACGTTCTTCACTCTTTGTTACTCTTGGTGAGATAACAGATTGACAAATCAAAGTGAGCCTTGGAAATTCTCTGTAATTTCACTGGTTTGTGAAATTCTGAAATGTGGGCAACATGGGCTTAGGTGACACACTAAAACTATGGAACAAATATGTAAAGAGCACCTAGAGAATGAGTTTAAAACGCAGATTTCTAGTTCAGGCTGCTTTTGGTTTGTGCAGGTGATTGCAGTGCCCCCTGAGTTTTGTGTGGAAGCAAACGAGCCAAGCCATAGGGAAGAAACTTGGTGATTTCCAGTCCTGCACAGGTATATTTGCTTCTTTCTGAACTGCCAGGACATGTACAATGAACATACATTTAAAAACATCCTTGGCTCAGGCATGAATAGTTTCCTAATCACTGTCTATCCTAGTCGGATCTCTTCCCCATTCTGAACTACCTGTGATCACACAAGTCCTAATAAAGGAGGCCCATTGTCAAGTAAAAACAATATTGAGCCAAGCATCATAGCTTATGCCTGTAATCCCAGCAGCTCAGGAAGATGGCTTGAGCCTAGGAGATCCAGGCTGCATTAAGCTATGACCACACCACTGCACTCCAGTCTGGATGACACAGCAAGACCCTGTCTCTTTAAAAAAGAAAAAGAAAAGAAATAACCAACTACGATAATCTCTGATCACCTTCACCTTCAAAAATAAGATGTGTTTATTTTCTCTGATGATGTTTTTGCTCAGGCATAGCCTGGCTGCCTCTCCTCTTAAATATACCTCCTTTATTTAAAAAAAAAAAAGAAGAATGCTCTGGGTTCTGGCGGAGGGCACAGAACTTCAAAGGCCATTCATTCCCTGCATAGTCTGTGGGGGCAGCCACAGACCAGGGCCTTCTCAAATTAGAACCCTGATGAAACCATGTGAAATTGTTCTGTGTGGCATGTTCGGCTGTTTAATTCAATCCCTCTAGGCTGAATTTGTCTCTGCTTTTATTACATGTGGCAAAACCGCAATTCCCCACTACATTTCTTTGTGCTTTGTAAATGACACATTTCTGTCCCAGTTAACATATGAGAGTTGAAACTGAATTCTTAATGTCAGAAGCAGTTCATAAACAGCCAAAGCAGTATTACCAGAATAGGCCAAACCTCAAGATACAGTCCTGCTACTAAAAGAAATGACTACTTTTTAAATTCACATTAAAGACACGCACGCCTTTTCCCAGACAAATCTAGTTTTAGCCACACGAGGGCATCGTGTGCCCTTCAATGAGCTCAAGTCACAATTTTTGCCACTGCTCACTAGTTCTTAGCATTTCCTAATAAACCGGTTGGTGCAAAATATTGACAGCTAAAACAAATATCGAGCCTCCTGTGCTCCATGTTGGGCCCTTAATCCTATTAATTCTTGTAACAACCTTCTAAGGTGGGCTTGAGCCAAATCCTCACCTTTCCTGCAGAACACACTGAGGATTCCAACCACAGAGCAGAGGCTCACCTGTGCCGTGAACATCCCCAAGAAGGTGAACCAACACAGGATTCGTTCATTTGGCCAACTCGCTACCAAGCACCCCAACCCTCACCCTTACCATGGCTGCAGCCCAGTTAAACTCCACTGCTCTGGAGGTGGGACCTGGACACTAGCATCACCTGATGGGCTAGGCAGGGGCAGGGGACATATGGATGGAGGAGCAGAGGCTCAGAGAGGTGAAGTGACGTGTCCCAGGACACAGCCAGGGAGTGGAAGGACAGCTCTGGCTGAGGTCCCCTGCCTACCTCCCTCCCCCTTCAAAGCACCACAGCACAACTATGACATCTCTAACCTCTCCTACTTGTTATTCGCAGCTTTGCTCTACTTAAGACCACATCAAAATTCAATTTTAGATGAACCGAACCTTCTCTAGCTAATTATTATTATT